AGGGATGTCTTGGAGAAGGCGGACAGGGTGGACATTGTGGATCTGATGTTGCAGACCTATGAATGTGATGACGTTGTGGAGATGATAGAGGACATTTTAATAATGATGAACATGAATAAACTGGCAAAGAGCTTCAGCTCAGCGGCAGAAGGTCAGTCACAAGAAGCAAAATATTAAAAATGTGTAGAGTGCAAGCTGTATTAGTTTGACTTATGTTTGTTTTACTCTGTCCTGCAGCCAGACAGTGGATCTAAGAGGAGAAACAGACTGATGTTTGAATTTGTGTAATTATTGTAGTTTGAAATTCATGGACACAACAGAAAACAAGTCTTCAGCCAACACCTTGAAGGAATTTCTTCAGATTGGGCACAAAAATTCCAAATCTATTTTGGCCATAACTCAAGAATTCAGACACTAATTCTGACACAATTTAACACAAATGTCTAGTAGGATAAATAAAAGAGATGACATTTTATATCCAAAGGGTCAAAAGTAAATTTCACTATAACATAATAACTTTCTGCAAAAACACTTCTGAACATTATTATTATTATTGTGACCATATTTCTTGCAACTTGACTGGTTGGCGGAGGCATATAACCGCAAGGCTGTAATTGTAGTTTCACTATGTTTTTTGAACAAAGCCTACAAAAAATATCAGATAAATATTACGTATATGGCAGAAATAGTAGTTACAAACAAGAAAAAAAAGCGTGCAATAATAGTATTTGCTGTAAAAACAAAAGACTGTGTAATGTCATTATTTGTATTAATTGTGTTCTAATTCTAAGTCTTTTTGCAGTTTTGCTAAGAAAAAATCAATCAAACCAGACTAGCATATCATGAACTCTGATCCATAACTTAAAATGATCTTAAATACCAAATAGTAGTGTCATTACAGCCTGAGACATGCTTATGAAGCTGGATCTTATCCCTGAAAAGAGCTAAACTTTCCTCTCCCCTGCCTAGTACATAATACAATGTGTAGTAATGTGCTGCAGTGAAGTACACTACAACAAAATAACAACGAATACATTAATTATTAAACTAATAAAAGAAAATATAGATTAACATGTAAAATACGTATGTGTCTATTAAAGTGTATATGTATATTATAAATGTAATAGCAATATAAATTAAGTATATGCACGTACATAATATATATGTATAATAAATGTGACAAAATATATAAATAAATGTCAAAAATAAATGTGTTTTTTTGTTTGAAACAAACTAAAAACAAAAAAACATTTGAGATTAATTGCCATAAACACCTGATGTATCAGATATGATACAAACAAAAATCATTTGTGATTTAAAATTCCATAATTGCCAAAGCACAAGCTTTTCATTAGTGCACTGGAGTGCACTGCTTCTAATTCATATGATGATGACAATAAATTTGAACTTTAACTATTTTTATTTTATTTTTATTTTTTTTCATTGTTTTTAAAATCCTTTGCCATCTGACTTTTCCGCCTATATTTTCCAGCAGGTGACTGGGGACAGGGGATAGATGCAGCTGGAAGCACAGAAAAGGTGAGATATTCAGGATTATACAACAGTTATTTCCGACCAAGTAATTTGATTGGACGAGAGGCATTGCATGAGTGCTGATATAGAGTACAACAGCACTGTTTAACTTCATGTATCACTCCGCTTAACCATTAATCAGTGTTACATTAACGGTCGCTAACTATCTTAGATTGTAACAAACTTTGCAAAGATGAAAATATTTCCAGAAATAACATTTGAATGACATGATGTCTGGTTGTAAGGAGAGGATGAAGGGAAGAAGCCTTGATACTTTAGAGCACTCCTGAGGTAACATCAGAGACAGTAGAGAAACCAATGTGTGGACAAAGTAGCTAGCTAGTGGCGCTGTGCAGGTCAGGGAAATGTGTTGCTTAGCAACAGTCCAGTACCACTCCAGTTGCTAAACTATTTGTGTTGTCGTAGCCAAATAAATGATAAGATAAACAAACAGATCATAATCTATGGTTGTTTATTTAACTAATATGGCGCTCGTAGAACTGTTGTATAAAAGCAACATTAAACTTGTGGTCGTGAAGTTGTGTTGAATATCAGCACGGCTGTGACTGTCTTCGATACTCGGCCTGTGGCCTCATACCTATGAACGAATCACAGCCGTGCTGATATTCAGCACATCACCCCCTTTTGTGTGATATTGTTCACATGATTACTATCGATTTATCGCAGCTTTTCATTTATGAGGGAGTGTCAGGGACACTAGTGAGTTAAAAGACAGATATTTTGAGAATAATTTAAGATGAAAATGAAAGTAATTTTACTTAAAAATAAAATCAGTGATAGAAGATGTAATATTTTCAGAATGAAGTGATATGTCTTGAAATTTTTCTTTGACTATTTTGAAATTAATTTTATATTAACAGTTGAGAGCTGTAGATGTAGACGGAGACGATCTTAACTAATAAGACCCTGATTATCATAGGTTTAAAGGAGCTACTTGTAAGTAACTTGTAACTTCATTCCTTTACTCTCAAACAGATAAGGGATGCTATGAAATGAAAATTGAACAGTACAGTTCCGACTGTGAGGTCAATGTGTCTCTTAAACTGTGTGCAAGATATATAATTAGTAACAACATTCAGGAAAACAGTTTATAGAGAATCAAATTTCCATCCAGGACCACATGAAAGCAATCGAGAAATTCAAAAACTCCTCTGTATAAGGACTTGCAAACTGTTCTTATATCACAACCCAGCTGGCTGTCATAGAACAGCAACAGAACGTCCAGTGACAAGAGTAAATTTGTAGCACTTCCATATTCTGTCAAA